TAAAACCCTCCCTTTATTCCATTCACCCCCTGGCCAAAATACACTTCACAATCCCAACATAAACACCCACAAAGAGCCAAAACCATGACCCACCTCCAGCCCCTACTTCCTGCCCATGTTTCCCTCACAATAACCCAAAGCCATAACTCCAAAACACCCATAAATAATACCCAGCCCTGTCCCCTTTTATTGGCCAAAACATCCTCCCATTTTACCCAAATAATAGCCATAAAAAAACCCAGGAAACAACCACAAGGAACCAAAACACAAACCCCCACAACACCAGCCCCATCCCTGAATTTTATCCCATAAGGAGACATGTTTGAATGAAGAATGCCCCATGCTTTGAGAGAGGATGTTGCTAGGAAGCTTCCTCATATTCACATTCATTGCATTGTGTATTATTTCCCCCTTCCCCCTGCCTATATAAATCAGGCCCTATGGCCAAATGTAACACACCTTTGAATATTGAAAACATTTTACTCTTTGAGTATTATTAAAATAGTGTGATGCTATTTTAGCCAAATTCCTAATTCTATATCTTAAGAGTGGTTATCTTAAGTGTGAGTTTAAGGTTCTAGATATTTGATTAAGTGTGTCATATCTTAATTAAATTCTAGATTCAAACCCCAAGTTAAGATAAGAGTGTGTAATATCTCTTAAGCACCAACTTGGTTTATCCATCCCTGATTTTCTTCCATTTCTTATCTCCCCCATTTCTCCTCTTAACCTTACTCTTTTCTTCTATTAAAATATCCCAAAAAGAACTCCTTCATCATCCTCATATTTCCCAGCCATTCCCCCACACAAAACACCCTTCTTCTTGCCCAGACTTCCGCCCAATAATCGATTATCCTTAGTGACAATCGATTATCAGTCACCGTTGAAACACCTGCAACCCATTATAGTCGATTATCCTTTCTGGACAATCGATTATCACGTCCCCCAGAAATCCTGCAGTCTCTAACAATCGATTGTCTCCTTCTGCCAGTCGACTATCAGCCCCTCCTGAAATCCTGAGGAATTCTTCTAAGAAACTGAAGCACCTGTTCATCGATTATCACGATTGTGTCAATCGACTATCTGGCCATCCTGAAGATTAAAGGCTGTTCTAGTTTGCTTCCTATTCCTCCGTAATCCCGCCCTCAAATTATCTAAATGATAAGACACCGGTCTCGGGTATAACACGGATTGTCATATCTCTCGAGGAGTGGACGAAGGGAATTAGTTTAATTACTCTAACTAGGCGAAGATTATGATTGGTTTATGAAAGTCTTCTCGAAATGATTATAAAAAGGGAGCAGAGTAAAAATAATAAATAAAGGTCACATAGTACAAGTATAGATCTGGACATAGGGTCTGAACATCATTTGGATCTATTTTATCATATTAAATTAACAATTGGAATAATAATATTTCTATTACTGCTCATCCATTTCTAGATTTGTACTTAATCCGTTGCACTTGAATATCATAGCCTTTTGGCATACAATATTTTCTCAATAAATGGTCTATTAAATCTTTCGACGTTAATTAACTAAATAAGGCAAGAACAATAGATTAACCATTCCAACATTAATTTAACATCAAAAATAAACAACCAAACTAGTCCGAACCCAGAGATCTGGACCCTAACTCATAATATGCAAACATAAATTAAAACAACATTTTATTAAATAAGAAAACTTATGGCTTCCGTACAAGCGGAACAGAACGGATCGGGAGTCAAAACCTCCGAAAATACTTCAAAACTACTACTAAAACTAATATACAAAGTATTTTAAGCAATTGAGAGAGGGGAACCCGAAATTGGGTTGAGAATGGATGGTAAAAATGAGAAGAATCGTGCTGTATTGGCGTCCAAGTCAAAGCGTCCAGATCTGGACGCCTGTCCCGGCCAACCAGGTTTTGCCATGTGTCTTCCTTGATCTGCAATCCAGCCAAGGCGTCCAACTCCCAAGCGTCCAACTTGGTCAAGCGTCCAAGTTGGACGCCTTAGGCCCTAGTCCGTTTGGGCTTCGCGGCTGATGCGAGATCTTGGCCCAATTCTGCTTGTTTTCGGCCCGAACGTCGATTTTATCTTCCCAGAAGCTCGTTCAAGCCCGAATCTTGATCCATTGATGGCATATTCCCTTTTTCTCAAGCATTTGAACATAAAACGGATAATTTATGATGATTTCATGTGGAATCCCTTTTTATGACTCTTAAAACGAAAATGAGAGTTTTATCCATTAAAATCACATTTTAGGAGATGATTAAATATTATTTACGTGCAATAACGTTTAGAATATGATGTAAATGATAAGAACGAAACGGACTTATCAGTAACCAACAAACACTTTATTGCTTTGGGATTTCTAATTTAGAAGCACCCAATGAGATTCCAATGATCATCTAGTGGACCATTATTCCCAGTCCCAAAAAGTACATTTAGACACAAATTAAATCAACTTTAATAATTCATCAAAAAGAATTAAATCAACTTTAACATAGTTATTGGATTAAATTGAAAAGGACATTGTTGTCCTTATTATTTTGTATGTCAGATTTAATTTTGACTTCTCATAAAAAGAAAGTGTCTATGTTTTTCAATTAAAAAAGTTAATAATTAGAATAAACACCAAAGTAGGACTAAAACATTGAAAATATATCAAAATAGGACTTCCATGCATGTTTTTATTCCCGAAATAGGACTTACATTACCAAACATAGTCATATATATTACCAAAAAAGTATAGTAATGTGCACATGTAAACTGCCACATTACCATTAAGTCATATTTCGGGAAAAAAAACATGAAAGTCCTATTTTAATACTATTCTCTGTGTCTTAGACCTATTTAGGGTGATTTCTATAATAATTAACCAAACTATGACACGGTTTCGAATAAGCTCGTTGGTTTCGAATACATTGGTATATATATACATGGCCGTGAGTGTGGATGTGGATAGCCGATGTCTCAAATCTCAACTGTGATCCTCTCTCTATCTCCATCATTGGATCTTCTCCTCCAAAAATAGGAAGTGGCATAAGATTCTGGCGAAAGAGATCGTATTGAGAAAAGCATAACGATAAACAAAGATAACGGAAACTCACCCCAAGGTTTATTATCCCCGCGACACGGAGACATAAACTTGTTTTGAGCATTTAGGAGGATATGTACAAAGCGTGTCGCCAGAACAGCACCGCTGGATAATGCCTTGCCTCCTTCAAAGAGGCTCCCATCTAGACGCACAAGAAAATACCTCCTCCCCAATTTATTAGGGACGAGGGAGACACCACCGACGTCGCCCTCACCAACAAATATTGAAATTGTTCCGATTATCTCCTTGTATATAAGTTGGCGTTTGGGGCGATATGATGAGGCTTCCTTTTGGGAGTCTGTGTCTTCGGTGCAACGATACATAACAACAGTTGGAAAAATGATGAGGAAAAAATGATTTTTTCAAGAGTGAAACTCTTTGGAGTCGACATAATTTGATTGGATTCTTTTTATAATTTTTTTGGAGCTCTTGCGATAAGGAAGCTATTTGCATNACACCACCGACGTCGCCCTCACCAACAAATATTGAAATTGTTCCGATTATCTCCTTGTATATAAGTTGGCGTTTGGGGCGATATGATGAGGCTTCCTT